TCTCGAAAACAAACCATTTTAGACTTTTCTATTATTCAACATTTTGTATATATGTATATCATACAATAATATTAACTTACGATATTAATTTTATATGAAGTATTTCTTCGTCTTCGTCCTCTACAACACCACCATGTTTGAGGATTTAATAATGATTGACTATATCGTGAACTAAAACGTCCTAAGCCAGTAATAGCACTATTACCTGGAACAAGACTTGTTCCACCACCACTACTCATTAATATATCTGGACCCATTTCAACAAATTCACGATCCTTAAAGAAAATAAATAAATAAAAGAAAAAATAAATATATTTTTTTCTTTCTTTCATACAGTTGTTAATTCTAAACAACGAAGTAAATGATGATGTTGTAATTCAAATGGATTAACAATATTTTTATCAGCAGATGAATTTGTATCATCAAGATTTTGTTCACGACGTCTCTTAGCTGCGACAAATGCATTACTTGTTGCATTACGTGCTAAACGTATACGTGTTTGACGTGCTTTTCGTTGAGCTTTCATTTTATCTGCTCGTTGACTTTGATGATAAATACGACTAAAATTTGATACAATAACAGGTACAGGAAGAGCTATGACAAGTACACCACTTAAACTGCATACACCACCAACAAGTTTGCCTGCCCTATATATATTTATTATTTTAAAAATAGATAAAACTTTTTCTTTTTGCTTTTTTTTTTAATGTTTATTAAACTTACCAAGTTTTTGGAACCATATCACCATATCTAGAAAAACAAAGAAATAATATCTAATAAACATCTTTCATAATATAGATATTTAATAATAATTCGAAATTTTATATAAAAACAAAAAAAAAAAAATTTTCTTACCCAAGTGTTGTCATTGTAACAATTGTATACCAAAATGCAGCTGGTATAGATGTAAATTTTGTATTAACAACAGTTTTTTCCGCATAATACATAACAGTAGCAAATATAATAATTGCCATTGTTAATGAAAATAATAAAAATCCAAGTTCACTTGCACAACTTTTTAATGTATAACCTAATACTCTTAAACCTTGACTATGACGTGAAAATTTAAATATACGAAAAACACGAAATACACGTAGAGTAACAAATGCTCCGCTAACTTCACCCTTTTCACGCATAAATAATCCAATATAATATGGCATTATAGCAATAACATCAATAACAGACTAAACAAAAACAAAAAAAAAGAAAAGTTATTTTTAATGTTTATTTTTTGTTTTGTGTACTTCTTATATTCATTCTTACCATAACAGATCGAACAAATTTTAATCGATCAGGCGCAGCATATAGACGAAGAAAATATTCAACAGTAAAAATCATGACACAAGCTGTATCGAGACAAAAAAATTGACGAGAAAAACGTTCACCACATGATTTTGGTTGACCTGTATAAGGATCCGCTCCACAAGCTACTGTATCTAAGACATTTGCAATAACACTAACAGCTATAAAAAATCCCGTTACATAATAAAATACAGATGCCATTGTTGATACTTGAGGATTTTCAAATGCACGCCACATACTTTCACGTAATGATTGTGGTTTTGGTTGAATTTTATCCTCATCTTCATGTAGACGATCATCAAGAAGTCTTTCAGTATTTTCACGTTTACGATCTCGATAATCTTCATAACAACAATCACCAATTATATCAGGTAATATACCAAAAAAAGCTAATTCTTCATCATATGCAGCAATACATTCATGTTTTGGATAATGTAATTTACCAGTACGATAAAAATTTAATATAACACGAAATACATCAGGATCACGATCAAAAAAATATTCACGTGTATCTTCATCATAAAAAAATTCTTTTTCATTTGAACCTAATAATGAATCAGGATATTTTTCTAATGTTGAACGCCAACATTCAAAACGACGACCACTAACATTAATTATAATTTTTTCATCACAACGACGTTCACCAATACTTGTTGTTGTAGCTGATGTTATGGATGTTGATGGTGATGATGGTGATATACCATTTGTTGATGTACGAAATGGTGGTGGTGGTAAAGGATGTTTTGCTAATGGTACCCAACCAATAGCTGCTGCTCGAGCAAATGGAAGCCATGCAGCTACACTAGCCATTTGAATTTTTTATTTATTTATTAGTTATCTTCTTTTTAATTAACCTATAAATTTACGTAGATTATAAAAGTTTAGCAATACTTTTCATTCTAGTGTCTCTCTTGAAAAAAAAAAGCAACATGACAAATCTTTTTGAATGCCATGTGTAACCATGAGGTATGATCTCTAATTACTATCTATCCTTGCTGGTCAAGGATACCTACTAAAATACAATTTTTCTTCAACAGTTAAAAGTGTAAGATACTTTTAGTATTGTATCAATTTTTGATGTTGATAAACAATAGAAAAAAGAAACATTTCAAATAAATCTTTAGATGTGGATTGAATGACTTACAATTTGGTAGACATACTTTTGAAAAATAACCAATGATAATAATTCAAAATTTTCGATTTTTATATATACATGATAAGTAAGAGTGTTGACAACTGAACAAACTTAGATACTTTTTTTATTTTATTTCATAATAACTCGTCGAAATGAGATCTTTTTTGTTTAATACGATTTTAATTAATAAGAAAATTGAGTCTTAAGGCAATACTTCAATCTCTTGAAAAGTGCTATATTTTACAGAGCAGAATTTGTTCTATTGAATTAGACTTTCTGACTTCTATGCAGTGCATTGTGTAAATATTATATCGCTTTGAGAATAACTGCATGCAATAGAAGAGGAAAAAAATAGCTGGAGAATTATAGCTGAAATTAATGCTCAAAATAAAAACGTTGTAACATTTACACAGTGCATTGCACAGAATGCCGGAAGGTCTGTCTCGTTCAATAGAATTAACTCGGCTCTACACAAATGCACTGCTTTTTATAGATTTGAAGAGTCGTCTTAAAACTCAATTTTATTTAATTAAAAATATAACATTAATTAAAATGGATAGAATAAAAAATTCTATTTTGGTAATTTATTATGAAATAAAAAAACGTGTAACTTTGCTCAATTTTCAATGTTCTTTCTTATAGTATATATAAAAATTGAAAATGATTGAATAAAATTATTTTGACAACTGTTAATTAATTATATCAGTATCGGAATATTTTTTCTATTGTTTGACAACGTCAAAACTGATTAAATATTAAAAATATTGTAAACTTTTGACTACTGAAGAAAAAATTATATTTCAACATTTGTCCTTGACCAAGAAAAATAGGTGATGATTAGCGATTCTATCCTATAGCTATACATGACTTTCAAAAAAACAAGTTTTCTTGTCTCATTTATTTTCGAAGATAATATTAATATGAAATATATGTTAAAATTTTATGATCTACTTTAAACTTTCTTGATAATTGAATATATTTTTTATTCGTTTGATTTTCCATTAGTTAATTTACCAAATAGAATGACTTCCTTTTCTTTTTTTTCTTTCTAAGTCGTTTCTTTTATTTTCTTGACTCGATGTGTCGCGTTTTTTTTTTATACGCATTAATTTTGTGTACGACTAATATTAATCGTATAGAAATAAGAGAAAACAAGAAAGAAAGAAAACGAAGAGAGACAACGAGAGAGAGAGAGAGAGAGAGAGAGAAGACGAAAGAAACAAAACCAAAAATAAAAGTATTGATATTTACTAATTAACAATACAAACCTACTGTGCGCCGATGCGCACCTCACTACGCCACTTGTAACAATGCACGGTGTGTTGATGAATTGTTTTGATTGTTATTTTTATTTGATAAAACATTAAATTGAACAAAAATAATGAAAAGCCATATGGTCGCCGTCTATCAACATCACGTCGCTTTTAGTATCGTATATATGTATCTTAAAAAAAAACAAAGAAGGTGTAGAACATAATGGAGAACTCAAGCGAAATACAACGTGCTTCTATATTTATATTAGCAATTAGAAACAAGAAATGAAAAAAAAAAAAAGAAAAAGAAAATCGATATATGTGCATATGTTTGTATATGCTCATGTAAGTAAGATGTTAAGAGACGGACAATAGAGTGTAAAAAGCAAAAACGAAGACGACAACAATGACGAAGCAGAAGAAGAACAAGAATGGAAAGACAAGAAATTCTACAGCCACCCTGGCGAGTGTCAATTCAGAGAGACACTAAAGCCGCCAGCAACAGCATACAAAGAAAGACGATACAAGATAGAACATTAAGACGACGAACAAGCACATGAGGATAGAGAGAAAGAACTCGTTGTGGATGGGAGAAAAGCGACAAGATATCTCAATCAATGTTATATATGTGTGTGTGTGCTATGCATCGAGCGCGTGTTGTAAAGAAGGATTGGAGAGACCTTTGTGTGTGTGTGTGTGTGTGTGTTCCATTATGATTATTTTCCGGTAGTCTCGTTTTTCTACTACGGTTGCTACTGTAGTTACTACTACTATAGCTACATTGTCGTCTTCTCATCAAGAACGACAACCTTCAAGCCACATGTGCCTATTTTCCCCTCTCACTCTATCCATCTTGTCGTCGACTGCTCAACCCGAGCAAGCGCGAATGAACTGATTTCTTCTTGTTCTTCTTCGAGTTTTCTTTTTTTTTTTCTATTTCTCATATTTTTTTCTTTTGGTCGTTTTTGCTGTTCCATATACTCGTCATCGACTAGAGTCGAGTGGTGTTAGTGATTCTTGACGTTTAACGATAATTTTGATTGTTGAACATGTATTATGACGTCATACATTGACATTATCAAGTCAAATATAATCTATATATATATATACAAAAAAATTAATCGTAATTTGCATCATGTATAACGATCAAAATTAGTATGTTCAAATAATATTAAAAAAACAAATGGATGAATGATTACATACTGTAATAGTAACAGTAGTGTTACCATCTGTTTACCATCGAACAAGAAAATCGATGACGACATGAGACACTTGAGTCCTTTTCTTTCTTTTTTACTCTATTGTCGCAGATGATTTTTCTTTGCAAACAAGAACTTATTAAAGTATTAATACTCAAAATTAGACAAAAATATCTCTGCTATTTACATAGATACTTTGAGATATATGATGTCTTGACTAATGTTCTAATTATATAATGAGAATACTTGCAATTTCTAACGCTCTAGAGACAGCAATAGCTATAATGATAGCAAAATGATAACAACAAACAATATGCCATGCAAGAACAATAGCAATATCATAATTTTTGCAAACAAGTGGACGAATGACTGTATGTTCGTAACAGTATGTCATTATATGTTCTAGTCTCATTTCTCTTGTTATGCTTCTATGACATTTTCGATGAATGAATGGATGAATGCTAGAATGAATAGTCGTATACATACGTACATATAAATAATAATTCAATCTATATCTTAGTCAAGGTCTGACTTTTGCCCCTGGTTGTTGTTTTGATTTTTTCTTTTTTTTTATCTTTTGCTTTCGTTGTGTCTAATTCGATCGCTGGTTTGTGATGTGTACACATCACAATTTATCAATCAATCAATCATAATCACGCAATTTAGCCGTTAGCATTGTCAACATTTTGTTCACAATGTAACTTCTCGTTATATTTCATCTAATCGTTTGCATACTCACGCACATACACACCACATACACATATATATATATATATATATATATAGTTAGTGAAAATCAATAAAGAAAACAAATGGAACATAGAATGAACAGTCAATCATTCGATTAATCATTGTGTTCTTTTTTTTTCACTCTTTGCTCTTCTGTTTTTCTCCTTGTTACTTGTCGTCGTCAGTAATATGAGATAGCAATGAAAACGGTCGCGAACGGCCAACTATACTTATGGGTCTCGAGAGAATTTTTACTGGGAATTTGTGCTCTCTATTTGTTGTATGACAAGGATGACATTGAAGAGAGAGAGTGAGCAACTACAAGTGACATCGTTTAGTCAGATGCGGATCATTATTAATTTGAAACAAAATATAACTACAAGAAAACTAAATATTCTCAGCTAATTCTTAGACATGCTACCTTTCGTGATAGAAATATCTATGACGTCGATAATGTTCTTGATTATTTTAATATAAAATTAAATAAATAGGTTAGTTTGAAACGAACAGGAAACAAATGATTAAATATCAGGTGTTAAAAACATTTTCAAAAAGAAAAATTGATGATATGTGCTTAGTCAATATAAATACTTACTTGTTATTTATTTTATTTTAGTTTTTCTTCTTTTTTTTTTCTTGTTTCAATAAACATCCTACTTACTTACGTCAATGCCATTTCTTATCGTACTCGTTCACTCTTTTTCTTTTATTACATTATTGAGATATTTTTTTTTTTAGATAGATAGTTGAAAGAGAAGAAAAAAAAAGAAAGAAGCGATTAGGATGAATATAAAACGTGCATTCACATTCCCCGATCTAAATCGAGCCTAATTTATTGAGAAAGGATTAGACGAAGCGTACTTAATACAAGTGAGATGCCAATCACACTCAAACAAGTGTTAATATTGAAAATTGAGAATGTGAATATAAGGAGAAAAAAAGAAAAGAGTTAATAATATCCAAACGGAAATATAAGAATAGTTATGTTTGATTAAACTGTATGCTAGTGACCTCTATGAAACAATTCGATGACTTTCATATGTCGTTAACAGCAATGTTTTTATATACATTGATATTAGCGAAACAAAAATTTCTATGGACGTAGTTATTTATTTATTTTTTCTAAGAGTATGTTTTTATAGTTCTTAGCAATTCTTTGATTATATTTTTTTTAATGTCACAAAATTCAGGACCGTTTCTTGTTTCTTCACATGGACCTCCAGGATTTCATCCACGATTACAATCATCATCATCATCATCACCAACATTAAAACGAACAATTAATGGTCCATTATCTGTTAGTAATTCACCAAATACATCTATTAATACAAATATGAACGTTTCAACATCACCATCATTAATGCGATCAAGTAATTCAATGGGAACTTTGAAATCAACAAATGTTAGTATAAATCCAATGGATAAATCAAATACAATGCCTTATTCATCTCGTTATACACGTAAAGCTTGGCCTATGTCACGTAGTATTCATGGTATATATATATATATATATATAAATTTACATATCTTAAACAATGAAAAATTTTTAAATTCTAGATAAAAATATTCGCGGATATGATGAACATGAACTTCCATATAATCGTTCAAGTCATAGTGTTCCATCTTCTGATAATATTAATAATTCATCATTTACAATTGAACCATCAATAGATGATGATGAAGCTGATGATATAATGTTTTCATCACGTCATATGGCTGCTGCACGTTTTCAACGTAATCAACGTTTATTATATGAAATATTTAATGAAATATGTATACCAGATTTACGTTCAAATATAAATATTGATCGTATATTAACATTACGTCGACAAGTTGATGCATTGAAAACACATCGTGAAACATTTGAAAAAGATTTAAATGAATTAGAAGAAAAACATGCAGAAAAAAAACGAAAATTTTTCGACTCAAATGAAAAATTTTATCATGAATATAATCAAACATTATCAACAAATTTAACTCAAGAAAAAATTAATGAAATTTTACAAAAATGTGAAACAATAGAAAAATTACAAAAAGAAAAACAATTACTTTTACAACAACAGCAACAACAACAAGTTGTTGCTACACCACCACCACCACCACTACCATTACCCGCAACAACAGTATCTCAACCAATAGTACCTTCAGTAACGAAAACTGAACCTGCACCTATTGTTGAAATTCCACAGCAACAAACACCATTACCTCCTGTTCAAGCTCAATTACCACCTTCCCAACCTGTTCCACCGTTGTTACCATCTACTCAACCTATACCATCATCATTACCAACTCTTCAATCTATACCAAATCAATTACCGTCATCTCAACCTTTACCTAGTCAATTACCATCATCACAACCTATTCAATCTCAAATGCCACCTTCTCAACCTCAATTACCACCACCACCACCACCACCCCCACCACATCCTGTAATGCCACCAATTCAACCACCAACAACTACACCTCAAGGTTATCCAATGATGCATCCAGCAAGTGGTTATCCACCAGTTCCTGGTTATGTTCATTCTCAACAGTCTCAATATCGACCAGCAATGACTCAACGATCAGCACAATATCCATCTAATGTTCAATGGCAACAACAACAACAATGGCAAACAAATGCATACGGTAATAATTAAACTAAATTTTTTATTTCCCAGGATAAAACATACAAAGTTTATATACGATGCTATGTAAATCATCGTATCTTTGCATTTACAAGCTTGATTCTCTTGACTCATGTTGTGTATTTCAGTCAACTATTATTTTATTTTAAATAGATTCTCGTTATTACAATCCATATCCACCTAATGTTCAATGGCAACAACAACAACAACAACAACAACAATGGCCACCTCAACAACAGCCATCACAAATGCGTATTCCTCCTCATCAACAACAACAACCGCCAATGTATGCTAATGGTGTTCATTATGGATATGGTAGTACAAATGCCGCATGGAATCCTAATACACATCCACCACAACAATATGGTTATTCACAAAATCCATCTTATGATCCTACACTTGTATCAGTATCACAACAGCAACAATATTATCCACCACCACCACAGATGCATAATCCTCCACAAGGTTATGATTATGGTCCACCACCTCCTCAATAATTATCAGAAATAAACTGAGAATAATTTTGTTTTATTCGTTTTTTTTAATATATATGTACAACTTTTTTTGTTTGTATATGTGTCCAAAATAATAAAAGAAAAAACAATCTTTTTAGATATAATTTAATATTGATTACATACATACACATGGCGTCAATTCGACCTGGTCTTGCTTTAGTACCAAAAGTAATTGGTCGCCGACAATTTAGTTTAAGTCAACGTATGCGTTTACAAGATAATTTTGATACAGAATGTGTACCTGGTTCAAGTGTTCCATTTAATAGTAAAAGATTTCTTTTTTTTTAATTAGAAGAAAACAAATTTTTCCTTTTTTTTTTTAGCAAACACCAAATGGGGTTTAGCTATAACAATGGTTCTCTATCTATCATCGGCTGTTGCTGTTCCATTCTTTGGTATGCGTTGGCAATTACTTAAAAAACGTGCTGGTTAAACAAAAAGACATTTCAATCATCCTACCTCTTTTCCTGTAGACAAAAACTACAACATAACCCAAACATTCTTCCTAGTTAGAATAATAAAAGATATTCTTTTCATATCCTTTCCATAAATAGAAATATGTTTGTTTGTTTGGTTTTTTCATTTGATTATATTTCAGATGTCATCATCAGGTTATTATTTTGTTATTGTTGGTCATGCTGATCAAGTTGTCTATGAAATTGAATTAGGTGGATCTAATGGACAAACAACAGATAATCGTCATTTAAATCAATTTATAGCACATGCTGCACTTGATCTTGTTGATGAAGCTATGTGGCGTAATACAACAACATATTTAAAACAAGTTGATAAATTTAATGAATGGAATGTTTCAGCATATGTTACAGCTGGTGGTCTTCGTTTTCTTTTTTTATATGAACATTTACCACGTTCGGGTGAAGATGGTTTAAAAAATTTTCTTACTGAAGTTTATGAAACATATGTAAAACTATTACTTAATCCATTTTATGTACCAGATAAACCAATACGATCAGCTGCATTTGATAAAAAAATTCAAACTATAGCTCGAAAATGGAATTTATAATAAGAAAATACCAAACTATTTATATATAATATGTGATTTTTTGCAATATAATTATTATTATTTTTTTTTGTTTTGTTTTTTTTCTTATGTAATGATTCTGTTTTTTTGTAGATTGTTAATAAAAACTTAATGAGCTATGCCAAAGCCATATTTCCTTATCATACAGGTGTTATTGGTGATCTTGATTTACAAGTAGATGATGTTATTGAGGTAAATCGAAATATAAAAACAATTCATATATTGACTATACTATATGACATGTTTTTTTTTATTATTCGATAAAACATCTGATGTGAAATTAGAATCAATGAAAAATTTTCTTGCAAATTTTTTTAATTTTCTTTTAAGTTTCTTCAAGAAAAATCATCATTGAGATAAATGCATAGTCGAGGTCTGATCTTTCATACACGAAATGATTTTTTTATTAGGCACTTTCTTCTAAATGATTTGCGTTTTTTCTCTATTTATGCTGTTTTGATCATGCATCTCATAATTTTCGAAGAAGCTGTACTTTTTATTTGAAAGAACATATGAAACTGTAGTATTCATTTTTGGCATTAGACTATATTATTATTATATACGAACGCACTTCTATAAATAGATAACTATTATTTTGAACTATTGAACTTGCTATCGTTTTTCTGTGCATAAAAGGTAAGAATTTAAACAAAAGAAGACACTGCAATCTGACGTGTTCTTTCAAATAGAGAGAAAAAAGAATTAAATCTATAGAATGAAAGTTCATAGTAGAAATCGTCGGATCCGAGTCCGAAAATTTTAGACCTGATAGACTCTAACCCTCAGAGAATTTAAGATTACTAAATAAGTTATTTTTTTACTTTTATGTGTTGAAGATCTTCTGAAAATTTTAGTATAATCTCTTGACTACAACTCCAACATATCCTGAAAATACCTGACCCAAAATCGATTTTTGTGGATGTGTGGGAAAGTTAAAAATAATTGGTCAATAGTATTTTATAATTACCTTGTTTGTTTAGTATACAATATCAAATAGAAACTGACTATGAAAGATATAGAAAATGAATCAATTATAATATATCAACAGAAGAGAAAGAAACAGTCAAGTTCATTAAACTGATTTTATTTCATCACATAAAAATACAACTTAGTATTATCTCATATCCATACAAATAGATTTTATGATAAAATTAATGGTACATTTCAGATTTCTCGGTAAATTGGTACAAAACAACTTCAAATTATTGCATTAAGTCTTATAATCATAAATTAATAGGATTCTTTCTAACAAGGGAAGTCCACCAACTGTCCAATCACTTTTGAATCGAAATCATGTGCATTATGTAAATCTAAATGAACTATGAATACCCTGAACTCAGTGCATGCTCTTAACTTATTGCTACAGAAATACTTCACTTTTACGATATTTTTTTAATAAAACATCAAAACTACTATTTTGTATGAGTGATATAAAAGACACACTATTACCATAGTTGTATCTTAAGATAAGAACAGTGACAAAATCTGAAACTTTTACAATAATAAAGGGGATCACAGCATTCATTGAAAAAAAAAACACCATAAAAGTGCAGCAGCTCCATAGCAATAGGCTAAGGACACAAATTCTTTTCAAGGTATTCATAATTCATTTAGATCTACATAATACACATGGTTTCGATTTATAAGCGATTGGATAGTTAGTGGACTTCTCTTGTAATTTCAATTTTCTGTTCAATGAATGTTTATATAAAAAATATTCTCTCGATATGCTTTGCAATTTTGTCACATGTATAAACATACTTTTTTTTTCAAAGCTACTTAGTAATTAAGATTACAAGCTTCTATATTTGCTAAATCTAAATGCTTATTAATTTCATAATTATAGACAAGATTTTCTTTACATGAAATTTATTTTTTTAGGTTTTAGAACAAGTTGATAAAAATTGGCTTCGTGGTAAAATCAATAATAGTATTGGTCTTGTACCATGTGAATTTGTTGAACGCCTTCCTACAAAACCTATTGATCATAATCAATCATCATGCATTGCACATACAGATTATCGTTCATCTCATGAAGGAGATTTACAATTTCATCGAGGTCAATTAAAAAAAAATACCAAAAACGAAGTTTCGATATAGTTTATAATATGATTTTATTTTAGGTGATCGTATAATTGTTCATGAATATTTACCTAATGGATGGTTTCGTGGATCACTTCATTTTGATTTACCTGGTACAACTTATAGACCAACTGGTATTTTTCCAAGTACATTTGTTACATTAGTCAAATCAAATATAAACAGTATCAATCAGAATGGTATAGTCTATTGAGAAAACAAAACAAAAACAAGTTAATATGCAAATTTGTTTTTTTGTATTGTATAGAAACTCAAGTACCGTCTAGTCAAAATAACCTTTTATTATTTGATGAAAGTCCAATAAAATTTGTTCGAGTCATTTGTGATATAAAACCGAGTGGATCAAATGAATTGGGTTGTTTTGAAGATGAAATTCTCGCTGTTATTGAAGGTGATATTAATCAAAGTGAATGGTTAGTTGTTAAAAATGCATTTAATTCAATTGGACGTATAAAACGTATCTTTGTTGAACCAATTGATGATCAACAGAGTGATAATGAACAAAATAATCTTTTATTTGTGCCTAATATCAAAACAAATCAATATCAAAAATCAAATAGTAATAGTCTAGACACAATACAAGAACTTGTCGAAAAAGAATTTGATAAATTAATGAAAAAAGATGTTAAAACAGAACAAGGTGAGAGAGAGATTCTATTTATTTTTCAATAAGAATAATATAGATCTAAACTGAAATGAATAACTTTCATTTATCTGATGATGTTTTTTTTAAAGTTACTTAATGCTAATAATTCGCTTTTATTTTCATATTAAATGATTCCCTAAAGCTATTATTATTTCTTTTAAGAATATTGTTCGTATAATTTTATTTTAACTGTAGACATTCTTCTCTCTGTTATCGATTATTCGATTACCGTAAGCTGTAACATTTTTTTTTTATTATACAACAAATATGTTGTATATTTACCGTTCGCCCTCACAATGTATATGTATTTATACTAATCTAATATAACAATGATAATTATTCTTCTTTAAAACAATTTCATCGTTTTGTTTTACATACAATATAATACATAAGACGTGTAATCTAGATCGGACGTGCCATTCGCCTCATTGTGTCCAGTTTGACCTTCAAAATAGTGCAAACAAAAACAGATCAAACTATCACATATTATTAATCAGTTCGTCTCAATTTTTCATCTTCTTTTCGTTTCTAACATCGGTCACCCACTTCAATGTATGTGAGAATATGTAGTGATGGTTGGATGAGTTACTAGCTTAGTAGAATTGAACACATTGTCTTTTGCTTTAGTTTCTTTTTTCTTTTTTCTCTTTCTGTCTTATTCATTCGTTCACCTTTCGCCTTCTGACAACGACCGCATCACTTTATATGAACAATAAGAGACAGGACACAGCTTGTAATTAATGTTTTATTACAATAGGAATATATATGTATAATAAAAAAAAAAATTTGTCATTTTTGACAAACATTGATATATCAAAATAAAATATAGATTTAATAATGAATTTGGACATCCGTTCTTCTCAACTAAGTCTTCATTCATTATCTTATTATCCAACAATAATAAATACAACAACATCAACAAACAATAATTTTAATCAACATTCTTTATCATCATATTTTCGTCGAATAAAAAAAAATTCTAGAAAAAATTTTTGTTGTCATGGAACAAGATTATCATTATCTTGTTTTAAATGTTTTCGATATTGTATTCCAACAAAATATAAATGTGAGTTTTAAATCTGTTATTTTTTTTTTTCTTGTTCTCTTTCTTATACGTAACGGAAGTCTTTAGC